AGCTTTGGTGATTTAAGTGGCTGTGAAAACCTTTGGCAACATAGGGGAACAAAGGGACATTCACAGGGTGAGAAGCTGCTCCGAAGACTCCAGAAACCAAGCTTAGCAGAGCATACAGAAAACATCACAGGCTGTTATGCAGATTTATTGATTATAGTGGCTTGTATTGATCTAAAATTGCATACATACAAAAGCAGCAGGTTTGAAGTAGTGCGGGTTGCAGACACATGCCCACAGTCATGACTGTGAAACAAATAACTATCCTTGTCTCTCATGTGTCTGGTAGTTATCAGTGATGGACAAGCTGTTTAATACCCAATCACATCAGTGTTACCCTAAACATTAATAGGCATGATTAAGAGTCTGGTCAATAACTGGCAGAGACGGGTGTTGGCTGACTGAGTTTTCACGCTAGATTAGATGAAAGGTCAGGGGAGAGCTAGACAGAATGGTGGTGGGTTGGGAGGCAGAGAGAAAAGAAAGAAATGAGGTTGTGCAAGAGGAACTGAAAAGGAAAGCAGTTTTTGCTCTGATCAGCCATCAATAAATCAGTTAGGTGCAATGGTGTGGAGATCATGATTGGGTTAGGTAAGGCTGTTACCATCGTGAAGGAGGAAGCACAGGAAATAGGCAGAGTGTAAAAGAATTAAGAAAAAAAAGAATAGCCGTATAGGAGAATACATCAAAGGGGTAAATATAGAAGTGATGGATGCACAGTCTCCCTCTCAGGTCAAATTCACATCACTGTTTATCACTGTGGTCAGTATCATCAAAATGACGTGTTGTTAGAAATGTTGAAAAGTACAAAATGAAACTCCGAGAGCAGTGCAGACTGTTGTGATGTCCCAGTGTCGCCACAGTTTACCATAACCAGACGACAGTGTCTCAAATGATCCCGCCTTTTTTAATCCAGCATAAGAAATTGTCCCTTTTTATGAGAGTTTCTCTGCTCTGCCCTTCTCCATCTGCCTGCTCTCAGTATGACTCATCACTCTCCAGGGTGTTGTTTTGTTTATGAATGTAAGTTTACACAGAGGCACTGCAGCCTCATCAAGTTCCCACATTAGGTTAGACAGGTAATTTCTTCGAGGTAAAAGAGTGGACACTTCAGAGCAAAACATTGCCAGCACTCTAGTATCCTACATATAGTGTTTTTGTGCTCCTTTTCTTCGTTTCTGGTGTTCTTTTGTGATTATAAAAATCAGTTTCATGCCTCCGCTGGGGGATTCAGATGAGGACTTATCCTCTGGGGAAAGACTCTTGCCTTTTGAATGAATGTGACTTTTTCTGTCACTGCATCTACTTGTAGAGAAAGCATTGACTGGATCTAGCCTGTCCTGTCCTAATCTTCTCAATGCCTTTGTCAAATTGTGTCTTGTCTCTGCAGACATTTTTCGGGGAATCGTGATGTGGAAAAATTCAAACACATGACCCACTTAACTCTTGTATGGTGGTTAAAAATACCCATGGGGATTAAACACACTGATGAGATTTCAGACTATAGGGCTCTATCTAATGTTTATTTTAGTTATTTAGAAATGTGTGGATTATTGGAGGAATTGTTTTGTATAAATAATGCCAAAAAATTATGTAAATTCTTCACGTCAAAATGTTGTTATTCCTAAGGCAACTTCTTTAAATTACTTGTTCAACCAATAGTTAAAACACAGATATACAATTTACTATGTTTCACATTTACGAAAGAGTACATGAAACCTAAGAATATTTGTCATTTTTGCTGAAAAATCAGCTGAATGAAGAATCGATCATCCCAGTAGTTGTTCAGTTATTTTCTGCGTCTTATTACGGAATCATTTCAACTGTAATTTGACAAGATGTTCTGAAAACCGTCACTTGATTTTGTGTTTTTGTTCACACAGTCAGACATAAAATGGAATAGTCACTGTCTGCTTTAACTGGGGTAGTTCCCCTAGAGAACGAGGAGCTTTAGAGCATTGCGTGCCTCTGTGAATGATTAGGATTGTATGCCAAGCAGGACACATTATGTTTGCTGGGGATTTGCTCCATAAATCCTTCACTGTTTGCAGATCTCACTGATAGTTGGTAATTGAAAATGGTAAAATACGGAAAGGAAAAAAGTGAGAAGAGTGAGCAAAAACAAAATTAAAACTAGGGATAAAAATTTAAATTCAGATTAAGAATCAAATTCGTTGTGATTATTCATCATCTTGCAGCTGTATAGCAGTGCTTTGTTTGACCACGAACACATTAACTGGAATATGAGACTCATTTTCTGTCTCTGTGATTTATGCTTAAGCACTATGTGGTATCATAGGTCACCTTAATTGGATAAGTTTCACTTTATAAATTCAAATACTTGTTCCCTGCCTTGTCTTACACCTGAAATTACATTCATAGTTTAGTCAGAACTATGCTGGTCCTAGGTGCACAGACTGTGTGGGCATCATTTTTGTTCATGTTGGTGTAGCAGAACCACTTTCAAATAGATGGAAGATGGAAAATAAAACGGGACGGTATAGTGATTGAGAAACTCATTATGAGCAAGTCACCTCTCTGGTTTCATTCCTCTGAAGCAGCTGTGCCAATCAAAGAGGTGTATTATAGCAAGAGCTCAACAAATGAGAATGTTTTTGTCTGAATAGTGCAGAGCAGCACAACATGAATTCACAGCGCCACAATTTTGCAGCTAGAGGCAGATGTTGTGTGTGTTTGTTTTTTTAATTTAATTGTACAATGATGATAAAATTATAGATAGTAAAAATGTTGATCTCCCCATTCATATCACCACATTATTCCAATATTATCAGTTGTAATTCTGCATTCCTGATACTGTAATTGTAATGTAAAACACAAAGTGTTACATTTGCAAACAATGAAATTGGAAAGGGGGAAATAACACACAGAATTAATTAGCTGCTGTAATACAATATATAATACTTTTGTATGGCTCTTTTTAAATTAGAGGGTTCAGATTCATCAAATATCTGTTATGCTGCCTTCAGATGGCTGTATGGGTTTAATGAACAAAAAGCAAAGCTTTTTATGTCTTAAAAGTAGCTATGGACAACAGGTAATGTAAGGATAGCTTCTATTCATTTATACATAAATGAAAGCTGGCATTGAGGCTGTAACTGCAACAGTTTTTTGCTTGCTAAACTAATTTACTAGTTGATGACTGATTGATTTAAAGGTCCTATTTACATTTGGATCATTTGTTGAGCATATACTTTGCTCTTCTTAAAAATCACCAAACTGGCAGCATATGAATGTTAACACCTGAAACAGACATGGTTCTGAGACATCTATTCTCAGCGCAAACTCTATGACACATTTTCTGCCCAAATACCAACCACTCTCTTTGCACTGCCTCATTTGAATGAACCTCCCACCTGTTCACGCCTCTCCTCCCACCTGTGCACTCTGTGTTTGGCACCGAAATACCACACAGTTGCACAAAGCAAATTTCAAGGTCAGGATATTGCCAAACTGTTGGAGCACTGCTTGTCGCACTGCCACAAAAACAGGGCACTTTACATCTAGCTTTATTTGCATATTTAGGATGGCATTTGATTTGAAATATATCAAAGCCAAACATATTGTCGAGAATGTGAAGCTAGATAAGTAATAAAAGACTAAGGTAATTTTGAAGGCTGGTGTTCTTTGCCCTGGGTACTGGATGAGGTCAGGCGTCTTTTCCCAGACACTGTTCCTTCTGGTTGAATGGAGCCAGGCTCAGTTAATCCCCCCCTTTGGACAGAACTCAGGAAAGGAGTCAGGGAAATAAAAGGAACATGTGAGGCAAGTATGGCAAGTAGGTCATCGCTTTGAGGAACCAACCAAAGTGACTATGTTTCATTTGGTTACTTTCTGCACAATGACAAATTCCAATACAATGGAGTAAGGGTGTGATCACTTCATTGAACATCGTCATGTTAGATGTCCATGCATTCCTAAATACAATAACACCTGCTCAATAATTGTCTTATCTGCTGTGGAGTGTTCTTTGCAGCATGGAGTTATTTGTGTACACCATTGACAAGACATGTATGTTCACCGGTAGATTAGTTGAGAGTACAAAACATTTGGCAACCAGGAAGGCATAATCTTCACCATAAGCAGACATCTATTGAAACAATTAGAGCTGCACACAGCAGCAGATAGATTTATCTGGTTTAAGTAATATGTGACTTTTCTTACAAACCAGTTTAGTTAAATTCCATTAAAATACCCCAGTTTTGCTTCATGACATTTCTTAGCCTTTAACATAATAATGAAAGCTTTAATGTTTCATCAAACAGTGCCGCGGATGTTAGCTTTGGCTTGGAGGGAGCCTTTGATTCATTGCCCACTTAGCCGTCTCTTCCTGGAAACCTCCCTTCAGGTTCAACCACCTCCCACCTTTTATAGCATGTCAGGGCTGTTCCCACCTCTCAAAGCTGACTAAGGTTTTTACATCAGCTGCTGTGAAGATCAGTAAAGTTTGATTGCAGCTAGATATTTTAAAAAGTAGACCTGATTTATGTACATAAAAGCACAGAGCATATCTGAACTGTGCCTTTCATTTAATTCTCAGTTGCTGATTACATGGTGAACCATTGAGTTTACCTCCTGCAGGCTTTTTGTGTAAGCTCATGCAATGCAGTTCAGGAGTGAGATTTGCCTGACATCAGTAGGTTTTTAGGAGAAATCAAAATGTAGCAGTACGAGATGGTCATTAATTATTTAATGACAGGCTGCAGTCAAACTCTGATTAAGAAAAATATGTAAACTAATGCAGCAGGGGTCATAAATATACATCTGATGAAACCAAAAAGAGTTGAAAGGAATAAAATAACGCAAAGAAAGCAAGAACTTGATCGCCGAGCACATAAGCAACTCATCATCAAATGAAACAGATTGCCCCTTTACAGAGTATAGGTGTGTACACATAACATTTGGTCATTTTCAAAACCACAACTGCTTGTCATAGAACAGTAGTAAATAATAACCCATCATCCCTCTGTCTACGTTTCTTTCAGATGGTGAAGGGGGAGAGGTTTCACCCCCAATGGGTGCTGGAGTAGACAGCAACAGCTGGCACTTTCGCTACGGCCCGGGAGGACCTGGTGCACCCCCACAGCACCTGAAGCCTGGTGAGGTTCCTCCAGAAGCCTTCATCATCCCCGGCTCCCCTGCCATAATATCCATTAGACAGAACCAGGGAGGAGAGGACGACAAGAGCGATTTCATCACCTTTGGAAAGAAAGAGGAGGCCAAGAAGAAAAAGAAGAAGAAGAAGGAGAAGAAAGACAAGAAGGATAAGGGCAAGGATGATGGAGATGAGTAGAGGAGCAAAGAGCAAAAAAAGCAAAGAAGAAAAGGGCGTTGTTAAAACAGAGGTACCAACCAAAGTCCATTGGGCAAAAAGAAAATGTAAAAACTGTTATAGCTTTTCCAATTTCATCATATTACCGATAATCACTGGTAACATTTTAAAGATCTTTTTGTTGTGAACCTGGCCTTACCAAGATTTGTTTTACCTTCAGTTCCTTACTGAAGTAAATTATTGATCTTGCCTTGATATAATAAATGATACGATACACAATAAATGATAGAATTTTCTCCACGCCCCTATGTGCCTATACACTCTGAGTCAACTCATGTCATCCTTTCAAGTAAGGAAGGACCACTCTTTGCCCTTGTCTTGAAATTTACTCCTTTAACCCACTGGGCATGTTGGCACCTCTGTCTTACCCCCTCCCCAACGACGATGTGTAAACCATTCTCTCTTAGAGGAGACAAATACTTTGTACAAGAACAACAAAAAGCTGTGCCAGCCAAGGAAAAGAAGAAACACGAAGACTGAGACCGATGTATGCAGTCTGGAGCTGGACACACTATACTTGTAAATAGCACAGGCGAGAGTCACCGAAACTAAGGCTAACATGACACTGCTGCAGATTCCTCTGGTAATTACCAACAGTGTTTCCTGAGCTCTCAATGAAACCACATGCACATACGCATGCTCACACATTCAAACATGCAAACACAAACTTACCATGGCGAAGTGGACACAGAAAGCACTTGAGACCTAGAAAGAGGAAGAGAAGTTAAAAAATGGGATAAAGTCAACTGGTAAAAAAGAAATGTGCTTAAAACTAGACACTGCAAGCTTTTTGCCCTGCACAGTCGCCTATGAGGTGCACATGTACATCAACTCTCAGGATGGAAGCAGCATCCTTTGCAGTCACTCTGTATTTGCTCACTGCATTGAAAGGACACAAAGAGATTCATCTCCTGCCAGAACCCCAACTGAGGAATGCAGAGAGCACTGGAAAGATGGAGAGATGGGAAGATACCTCACATTCTCCTGAGGATCACAGAGGGGAGAGTCCAGCTGAGCTGGCTTGTGACTCCGCGTTCAGTCAGTGGACTCTGATGAAACCTTACAGAATATTAGGAGAGATTTTGATAACACCGTCTCTTCTCCCCCTGCTGCAGCAAAAGCCTATTGCTTTCTGCTTTGAATGTTTGGTAGCAACCAGTCCTTACCTAATACCTTGAGTTTACAAATGCTCACCTGCTTGTACTTGCCCTAAGCTGCCACGAGCCCTCTTCTCCTCCCCAAACCGCCTTTTACCCCACTGTCACCCATCCCACTGACTGCCTCTTCATGTGACAATGAAGTTTGTGAACTTTTTCTGTTTTCATTTATCCTCTAAAGAGATTCATTATTACATTCTGTGGCATTTTTTTTTCATTGTTGTTTTCTTCCTCATAGCTTTAACTGCTTTTTGCTTGACATGCTCACCCCTCATTTACCCTCTAATACTGACCCTAACCCCCATTCTGACCCCCTGCTCAGGATCAGTCCTGGGAATGGCCTGCTCTGAACATTGTGGTGTGCTGAGAACAGCATGGAGTAATGTGGACGAGGCCTAGGGAATCCCAGTCGGGGGTCTGTGCCCTGAACTCTTGTCAGATGTTTCTCAAGTGCAAAACGGTTCAGTGCTTTTAACTTGTGAATACTACAGTATGCGGTTCATTTGTTGTTTGTAGCCACTGATGAGAGGGGACCAGGTGGGATGAGGCCGATTACAGGGACTGTGGAGGACCGGGATAAAGTGAGGAGACAGGTGCCGTGGGCTGGCCCTCCACCTCCATGTACACAAGAAGAAAAGCTCTCCAACTTGATTGTTTAGGATCGCTGAGTCACATGTTAGCTTTTATGTACGCTGTAAATGTAGCGTAGACTTTTCATAGATTGTCTCCACATTAGCAATTGAAACTTGATGAAAAATATGGGCATCTAGGGATTCCCATCCCAGAGCTGTATCCCACCAATCCTCTCTCAGGAGGTTTTGAAAAAGGGGCACACACATGCCTCATGACCTGCTTCTGTTGGTTCCCTTCCTCTGCCTGTAACTTGTTGCCACATCCCAGAGTTTTGCGGCTCAGTATGACGTCACTCCATTAAGTGGCTGCTGCATGTACTGCTCTAAGGAAACACATACTATATAGAGAAATATATATATAAATAGATAGATGGCTATGATTTTATTCTTTTGTATTATCATTTTTCTTCATTACTCGCACAGGAGATATTTGTATGTACTTCTGTCTCTGCCAAACATCTATGTACTACAATCTTCACGCTCCACAGATGTTGTATGGCATCCACTAAACCTCTTTAGATATTTGTAAATGCTATAGTGTGATACCTTTCAACGCAAGTTTATTATTTTTCTTTTACGAAATATGATTTTTTTGCTTTTGAGAACAAGCAAAGCAAGAAAAAAAAATGAAAAAAAATCACTTTGTGTCTGGCTTTGACATGACGATCTAACTAACACTGTATTATTGTAACTGAAATATGTATGATCCTATGATGAGCTATCACTTCCCTTTCACTCTTATAAAAAGAAAAATGACAGAAAAAAAAATCCAATGTAAAAAAAAAAAGTATATGTAGTGTATGCTTGTGTTTAGTGAGCGTTCATGCTGTCATTCTTTCCCAATGTATGGTGGTGAACTATGGTGGCAATGTGCTGTCCTAAATGGATGAGCCGAGATCTGTTGTAAACCCTTTTTTGTACACCCTCTCATCAACTGTGACAGTGAAGTAGTGAATTTCATTTATTTCATTTATTTTCTGACTTTTTATTTTACCTAAATGGATACAGTGGTAATGTGTTTGGTTTATAAATCACTAATAAAGTTTTCTTTCTTAAAAACAAAATTGAATTCATTTTTTGGGTGGTATTTGTGTGTGTGCATGTGTGCATTGGCCCTGTGATGTTTCTTTGTCATCTGAAAGTAAATCAAACTATAATAAAGTTTTTGATTTAGCTTAGGTTTTTCTTAAAACCGTTGCCTTTTAGAGTACCTACCTCATTTGTGTTTTTTAAATACTGTGCGGTAAATGAGACCATTTAATTAAAGGTAGACTTATGTAATAAAAACCTTAATTAGAAATCAGAATTGTGCTTGTTTTACAGAGACTGTTCCTCATTAAGTGTTTTTTAAAAGGGTCAACCCAACACTCTAGAGGAAAGACTAGATCAGTAAAAGGGAGAAAGAGTGCATTTTTTCACTGAAGGCAGGACTGACAAGCTATCTGCAGGCTGGTCTTTTCAATCACACATGTTCACATCTGACTTTTTTCTCTGGCCTGACAAGTAGTCACTCATAAAGGCTTGTACCCTGCAGCGATGAAAGACAGGCAGAATGATCTGCCGAGCCCGGATACTGAACTTCTTGCTGAAAGGATGGTCACAGATGGTCCAAATGGTCCCTTGTGAAAGGAAGCTTCCAGACGCAGCATAATTTAATAGAGTGGCTAAGTAGATTTATTGTATCCCAGTGGGTAAGTTTGTTGTAAAAAAAAAAAAAATACAATAGAGAGGCATCAGTCATGCTGGCCTAGATAAAACAGAGTATTGATAATCAATACTTTTATCCAGTCATCTACTCAGGCAGGCAGCTCAATAGTTTCCTAAAAGGTTATTTAGACCTCTAGGAAAAACAACAAATTTCCCATTTTGTTGTTATTTGTTGTCTGGGGGTGAAAAGGAATAGCCTTTTTATTGCTGAAAATTAAATATGTGTTTTGTACTGATACTGCTCTTGAAATATATAAAAATCTAGATGTCTCTTTGTCACCAGTTTTGGCTTTCATCTTTCATCCTGAGAGGGGAGACAGTGATGAAAGAGGTTCAAGAGTTCATGTAAAAAAAAAAAAAAAAAGAATGCTTGCAAAAATGTTACATTCCATTCTGTATTCCATTCTCTCTGGGAGACAGATAAAATTGTTTCTATGGTTACAGCTATTTGGGGAATAGTCTCTATAGCAACAGCCTTATATACTTAGCAAACAGGGAAACAGTAGGGTGCCCAGGATGGGGTCAAGGGTGTGTCTTTTCATATGCCGCAGACAGCACTTCACAGATGCTGCTGATCTGATGATGCAATACTGCAAACAATCAGTCTCTCTGCCTCCTTACTGGCATTTTACAGTAAAGAACAGAAGATCCACGCAAAAGCAACACTTTAACAAATAACATTTACACCCACACATTCAAAATGCCTTATTCCCATGAGTATTCACATTCAAATGTGTTCTGGTCTTTCTGAATTTTGGCTAATTTGAGTTATGCAAACAAATTAATAAACAAACCAGTTGGCTCAGTGTGCAGAAAAGCAGCCTGCAGTGTTTGGTCTGCAGAGAAGAGACTCTCTGGCTAATGAATATGGATATATACTATGGCAGAGTGAGCAGAGCTGTGCAAGCAAAGCTGTGGGCCACTGTGTTCATGCTCTTTCTGTGCTGTCCAGTTCACAGACTAAAGTTGAAATGCAGGATAAACACAGGCTACACATAATTGTACATTGCATGGGTCTACATGACTTGTGCAAAATAGAACTGAAAGAATTAACAGATGGAGGCCAAATAGTGATTATTCTACACTGGAGCTAAAGTGTGCATGTGTGTGTAGTAGTGGGTGAGTTGGCTGGTGATGTTGCCAGCTGCAGTGACTCAGCAAAGCCATCATCCTGCCGAGAAAGGCAAAATGGAATGACTTGGATGAAGATGTTGAGATTAATGTGCACAATAATTTTGGCCCGTGGCAAAAACAGCTCCACACTTCACACTGTAGAGGCACAGTGTATGTGTGAAACTGCATTAGAGTTAATGAGAGAGGGTGGGACCGAAGGTTTAGGATTAAATGGATTTGTTGTTAGTCTCTCATGGTTAGGACAAATTATCTTTACTGGTTTACTGGTTGCTGAAACATATATTGTACCCAAGTACAAATTTGGTCTTGATAGTAGAGCTGGTGGTTAATGGAGTTTTGATTTTGTGTTTATTTGCCTGATGTTTTATCATGTCTATTTTCTAAGTGTATGTTGTTCTTGTTTGTTTGTTTGTTTGTTTGTTTGTTTTACAACAACTGGCTGTTATCTTTTACTTCTACAACTCAAGCATTATTGTTGGCTTCCTCCCAGGTACTGCAGATACTAATTATCCAACATTTGATTAAATGAAAAGCTACACATGACACAAGCTTCCACCGTAAACTGAAGTGTAGTCTCCCTATTTTCAGACCCCAGCCTGCAATAGCACAAACATCACACAGTTAGAAATCGCTTAATAAGTTACTATGCCAGCAGCTGGGCTCAGTGTTGTGTGTCTTTGGAGAAAGAAGACAGATTTACCTACTTCTTAAAAAAACCTGAGCATGATTACAATCATCAACCCCTGTGTCAGGCGCCAGGAGCCAGAAAGCAAATGAAACGTGTACCAGAATTATTGGACTTCATGAACCATAATGCAATGCGTGCAGGACGTGGAATGTCGGTTTATGAACCGTGTTTAAAGCTCAAGCATCTTATATTTTCAGTTTGATACATTTGACAAGGAAATTGGCCTATTGTCATGCGTTCACAGTGTCTGAGATTTCTAGAAACCATTCACACATTGATATATACATATATAGAAACCACAGGCTGTCGTTCGGAAATACTACACGATGGACACATCACCACCACCTTTTTCATTCATTCCTTTCTGCTGTACTTGCGCTGTTTGCAGGAGTGCTAAACCAAAGGCGCCATCTTCTGGTTAAAATGTCACAGCACATTTTATCACATTGCAATCAAGCACTTCCCAAAACTATTTAAAAGACATTTTGATCTGTTTGATTTTGAGTATCTTTATTTCAGGATTTCAGTTTAGGCCTGTGCTCAAAAGGATTTCACTGATGATCAAATTCAGCTCACAGATCGACAGATTTTTATTCAGAAAATACAAGAGTATTTAGAGTATTTTTTTCTGAACTAAAGAAAACTGAATATCCTTCAGGGTTGTTGTTGTTTTCCTTTCCTCATTTTTCCATCTGTCAGTGAATGTACTGTACACACTGTCAAAAAAATCCCAGGAAAACAGATGTCAGTGTCAAAGACAAGAGGTCTTATTTTAAACCTCACCAGCGCAAAAGTAAAACGTTTCATGGCCCTTGCAAAACCAGACACATTCATAAACTCTCAGAGTGGAAAAGACCTGCTACAGTCCAGAAAAATCCGTTCAGAAGAAATGAGAGAAGCGATAACAGCCTACGAAGTACTGAGGGGGAAGAAACCCAGAAAATCTGCTCTGATGAAGAGGATTCAGAAGAACTGCAGCCAGAACCAAAGCTGCTCGTTAGTCATTACATCTGAATCTACGACCAGAACCAGAGCTGATCTACCAACTACAAGGAGAAATATCCAACCAACCCCTTAGGAACGTGGTCCAGCCGACAAAAGTAAGAGGAGATGGAGGTTACAAAGAAAAATGATTTAATTCAGCTAAAAAGATAAAGCAATAGTTTAATCAGTAAGAAGGTATACATGTGTATGATTAACTTTATAAGGTGTGATTAACTTTTAAGGAGTGCTGTGATGACTGTAACATTAAGTCAAGACCATAAGTGCTTACCAGAATTAGAGTTGTTATGATCTTTATAGGCACACAACAAGGTCAATCACATCATCTGTTACACCGCCTAGCCTGACTGGTGAAATGAGATGATCTAATGCAGGATGCCTATGTCCATAGGGAGGTCTAAAAGAGTATAAAAACCCTTTTTAGACTGTAAGTGCGCACTCATCAACTGCCTGGGGACATCATTCTGAAGAAAGAGGCAGCAAGCTAAAGAACATCAGCAAAAGAAAGATCTGAGCACCAGTTAAGTGCCAAAAACACTCATTTGCAACATCAGCCTGGCTATGCTGGATACCTTTAGGCAGGCTCCTGCACAAGGCTGAGAGAATTTGAAAGATGGGACAGCATTAACATGTGGAGATTCTTTTTAACTTCATGAAACTACTTTAAGAACTAATAGCAAGAATCTTCAAGACTTTTGGTCTTATTTTTTATTCACTCACACATCAACAAATCCAAGGAATAGAATAACCAGAATAGCTAAGAGAGGGGAAGACTGATTAAACAGTTTATTAATTGTTATACTTTGACATTTGTAATCTTTGTATCACATTTTACCATCTACTGCTGTTACCTTTGCAATCAATAAATAAAGCATTTTATCTGTGCTTAAAGTAAAGGTTCTCTAGCTTTATTGTTCTTTGTCTGAAAGTTCCTAAAAGTGTTTGCAGCCTCTCCTCTGTGATGTAAAAGTACAGATTGTGTGTCAGGTCCATAGATATAAGCACTTTTGATTGGTCCAGATTTTTAAAATACCATTTTCCCGGCAGCAAAGTATATTTGCAGCTTAAATTATATACAACATTTTGAACAGCTTTTAAGGGAGCTGTCATGAACCAAAGTGGTGTCCCTACGCATTCTCAGAGTTGGCCAGTAAGGTTAATGAAAAGGAAGGAGACTGTCAGTTGCTGGGTGAATCTCTGCAGAAGACATTTTAGCAGCAATTAAAGTCTTCTTTGGTGAGTCTTTACAAGCTTTGTACTCATGGAATGGGAGAGTTTATCCCATTTTTCCTTGCAATCTTTGTCAGATTGGATGGAAAGTTGCCATCTTCAGTTCTTTGGCTTAAATCTTGTGTTTTGTTGGACCACTTAAGGATAGAGATTTGGCCTGAAGCCACAACAATGTCTTAACTGTTTGCTTTGGCACTGAAAAGTCAACCATTGCTCCAGAAATAGGTCATGTTCACTCTGAAGCAACTCTTCTTCAAGTGTCTCTCTTTGTATTTAACTGGATTCATGCCTCCTTTAACACTG